CTATTGACTCAGAACCCATTGGGGCTAGAGGAATAATTGTTAAATAAACACTCAGTGATCTTGGTGATTTAAGCAATCTGATCTCGGACTATTCAACAATATTCACCTCCTAGCGAGTGGATATTTTCTTAGCCCGTTTTTTTCCCCATTTTTTTAGAGAATAATTGTTAAATAGTAACCATTAACATCTATTGAATAAGGCTGAGTATGATGTAAAGAATTATGCAGATCGAGGATATACTATTCATTCGGTGGTAAATTTGTTTGGAAACAGGGTTGGTCGATGGTATATTTGCCTGGAAACTAGGCTGCTTGGGGCAATAGTGAACCAAAAGAAGGCGTTCACGGCTTTTAGTTTTCTAAAAACGAAATAGCTGAATTTCTTACTGAAACTGAACGGAAGAAATGCAAGAATACGCAATGGATGTTATCTACGTTTTGAGGAGTATCTGCAAGAAAAACATCTGTTTATTTCCTGAAACAGAGAAGAAGGCCAAAGTTTTTAAGAACGTTTACACGGAGGTTAGCTTGTTAAGAACTTAGAGATGTTTTGAACGAATAAAACAGTTACTGAATTCGGCTTTCGTATGATGTGAGGAATAACGCTGATCTCGGAGGCTGTTATCCACCTCGATAACAATCTCCTCTAACTGCATAACTCTTCACATCATACTCGGCCTCCAACTTGTGTGTTATCATTATAATAGTACAGTTTCGAATTAAAAATCCCCGCTGAATACAAACATTAACGACACATTCACACAGAATTAGTCACGACATAAAGTAAAATATTCACAAATTTCAGCAAGTAAGTGTTTGAAATTTAAAAATACACAATTGACAGAGTAATCAACGGGTCTTCTTCTCGTCGGAATTTGTGAATATATCTTTACTTCAGGTGGAAGCTAAGCCTGTAAAAATGCGTCTTCACTTCTTTCATTCAACGGTCATAGCGAACTCGAAACTGGACTATTCAACATTCTGTTGCCATGTCTGTTGAGTAGTTCTTATAACTCCCAGTCAAGAGAGGATAAAAAGGACAGAGAAGGCATCCCGCATACACACCCTATTCCATAGGTAATTCGTCTCGAGTTATTTTTAGAATCGGGATAAAGTTACCTCGCGCGCTGCGTGGATGTTTCGTGGAGGTTTCGCATGACTAAACGCCGTGCAAAACATGTCGGGCGAAAGGCAATGAAAGCGTTAAGAGATCGAGAGCATTTCTGAATATTGAAGCGAAATGAGTCGGCGCTCATCTGGGAAAAGGGAATCGCTGCACTCTTTGACAACCCGTGAAATCAGTTTAATTCGAAGTTGTCGTAACCTCAGTGCTTTAATAAAATGAGACATTTCGCCTGTCTATTGAAACCGGTCGTTTGTATAATAAAGCAAGTAGAACGCCAAGTGCTATTTTTGTTGAATAATAAAAGAGTAACAATAAATATTAAACCAGAAATTGCTCTCTTCAAACTGTACATTATAAATGATCCTGAGAGAATATTCAGTGTGTTAACGATTTCCCTGCTGTACTGTTAGCTCTATACAAGAGAGGAAGGGCGATTCCTTTTTAATTTCCGTTTCGCTGACACAGCTTTAGCAGAAATCTCTCTTTAGTCGTTTTCGTCGACAAAACAAATAGTAATATCGCTCTCCGCGTCTTCTGCCATTTTTTTCTGCGTCAATTCGTGAAGGACGCGTGGTGCTGAGCGTGGGTCATCCACACGGAACACATTCGCGCTATGTGATTGGCTGTTGTCTAATCCCCCCTTGGGATCTATGGTCTTAAAAATAACTCGAGACGAATTACCTATGGAATAAGGTGTGTATGGGGGATGCCTTCTCTGTCCCCTTTATCCTCTCTTGCTCCCAGTCTATTATCATCCCTCTATTTGGAACTCCGTAAAAGGCAAAATAACGTCGATTTTCCCCCGTGAGAAAAAACGGTGACTAGCAGTATTGGTCTCTCCTGCATTCGCTACAGTCCTTAGTTTAAGTCAATAAATGCTTATGGGCCTGGTTCATACGGTCGCGTTCCTATGCTGGCTCCCAGCGGGATTTTTTCACGGGTGGTTTTGTGGATTTTGTTTGTTTAGTCTGTTCAGGCGGCTTAGCAGTACTGTGATGACTTTGAGCGTCCCAAGTGTTGGAAGCGGACGAAGAGGCAGCGCGGAAGTGAGACTTATACTGAGCCTGATGAATAAAAGACAAACGCAACACCAGTTACAAATAGTACATTATCCTTCCTGCTAAAGAGGCTTTGTTACGAGGTCACTTTGAAACGAGCCGGGAACCGGAGCCGAAATGCGTCCCGCAATTGCTTCTGGGATAGTTACTGGGGGCGCCGGGGACCGCCATTGGCCAACTGTATTTCCCCGTCCCTTGTAACAGTCCCAGAAAATTTGCTTCTCGTTTCTAAAGTGGAGAAATACTGTTTCAGGTCAATTCTGACATTTTTTACTGCCTTTACCCATACACATAATGCTCTTGTTGAGTCATACCCTGGGTGCCAGAGACTTTTCTAGCGCAGTTTCCGGTTTCTTCGCCGCTCGTAGCTTCGGCCAAGACCGAAAATTCCCGCCGCACGCGAGAAAAACCTCTGGTACTCAGGGTAGTAGAATCATGAAATAGATATAAAACAATTTCATCAGGGAACACTTACTATAATAATTTTGTTGGTGATTTCTGCACTTGAAAAAGTTAGCCCAGCTTGTTAAAGTTTCAATCCATGTTCATCCTTGTCATACGTTGCAACAGATGACAGGAAACAGTTTTATACCTTGGATCATTGTTCAGAGCCGGGTTGTTTAAAGTTGTTTTAAGATAACCCAGGGTTAGAGCAAAATTTGAATTGAGATAAGAAAGCTTAAAAAGAAAATTAAGTTTAAGTCGTTTAGTCTACAATTTGATGGTCGGATGCTAGAAAATGAATAGAGAAAATTATCCGAGAAAATTTTTTTGAGTAAAAGAAAAAGAAACCCGCATTAAAATTTAACCAAGGTCAGCGCTATTCGATCTTGGAATAACTGGACCCAGAAGTTCAATTTGAAAATTTTTTACCTGGAAAGCTGCCTTGAGAGCTGACGTACGATCATTCATCGCCGATGAACCGAACACTCCACGAGACGATGATGATGACACCGATGACGAGTATGGAGAGGACGAGGAGTTTGGAGTGGAGTGCTGTGCACCTCTGCTGTCACTGACCTGGGTTTCCTGTGCAGATGGAGATACTTTACTAAAAGCACAATAGACCCAATGCAAAAATGGCTGCTGAATTAACATTCTTTTGTTTAAATTAAAATTAGCCTGACAAGCCTCGTTCTTCAGGACAAATTCTAAAGAATACATTATTTTAAGCGAGGCTAGTCAGGTTAATCTTAATTTAAACAAAGGAATATTAATCCAGCAACCATTTTTGCTTTGGGTCCATCAATCAACAAAAAATATCAATGTGAAAATAGTCGAACCTCTATGTGCGATCGCATCAACACATTTTTAAACTGCTGACGAGCTATCGACTGGACACGATCTGGATGATTATATGGAAATGAGGCTTCACCCTTTATCTATATATGAATCTGATTCGTGATTCTCCTTTCTGGCGGGCACGGCATTTCCTTGTACATTAGTTAAGAGAATTTGGGGTTATATCATAACATCCTCTAGCTGATACATTTGCCTATTCACATAACCATTCTGATGAACAATGTATTCTGCTTGAATATTCAGAGGTTAAATGCAAATCACTCCCAAGCGACTACCAAATCTTCACATTTTAGGGGGCCGCTTGCGGGAAGCTAGGCTGTTTCTTAACTGTCCACGTCGAAGAGACAAGTTCATAGCCCCAATTGTAATTTTGAGAGAGTTGCTTGTTGAAACATTTTATATTTTGTTCAAACCCTATCCCTCGACAAAACAAGTCATTTCTTAAAGATGTCAAATAACTGTTAGCCTTAATGGAGACCTCCTATAAGATATTCCATTCTTTTTACAGAGCACGGCGCCCTCTTATGTATTCAACAGTTAATTATTTACTTTATTGTTCCTCTTCGCAAAGTTTCTTCAATAATTGTGACAACTTACGGATGATACGTGCATTCCTAAGCCGGGTCTTTCACGCATGCGCGGTCTTCCTTCTCTGCCACTGGCCTTTCCTTTTCCGTGTTGAAAACGAGACTTGCGGAACCACGAATTCTGTAAACAAGAAGAGAACAACACTGAATTTGATAATTTGGAACACTCTGGCAGTCGGAAAGAAACGGCTTTTGTTCAATAACAATTACATGAAGTGCAAACCTTCATAGCCATTTCCATTAAAGCGTCTGGCACTACTTGATTAGCGCCTTCCTAAAGGAGAAAAAAATTAGATAGTTTAAGCTCCCAAAAGAATTCAACACCAACAGTGTACGGTTTTACTTACCACACAGACCGATTACCTTATAACGATACTAGATCTAAAGGAACATGCTAGATTCTATGATGGAACTTCTTGATCTTTCTGACAAAAATGGTCACATGAAGTGACGCACTAAATTGGCAATCAAGAATTAAAATGACCACAAGAGAAAAGTAAAAAGCAACTAAGGAAAATGATATTTCAAATATAAAGAGGACCGTGGAATTTACACGGGCAGGGGATGGCCAGAGATGGGGGAAATAAGGAGTGACTGTTCCGTCTGGCCACAGGGAGGCCAAACGCTGTTTTAGCTAATAGAAAAAAAATAAATGTATTTACGCTGTATTAGCTAATAAAACAATGAGATACATTTTCCTTTGTTCCTGTCACTGTTTTTATAAGTCGTTTTGGAAGAGATTTGAATCCGATCAGAGACGGTTATTAAATAACATTGCTGGTTATTAAATGCGTTTGCTTGTCTGGCGCGTCTATTAGCTAAAACAGCGTTCGGGCTCCCTGTGGTCTGGCCCACTATGAGGTCATCGGAGGAGGAGGTAAGCAGTGTAACGTACAGTAATTACTTTATACGGGCTTTTTACGGTAGCTAGTTATTATTAGAACTCACCAAATTCCGCACGAGATCTCCTGAAAAGTTCTGATCCGCTGGTGTTATAAGGGTGTAAGCCACGCCCTTCTCACCTAGACAAGAAAAGACAAAATCAATGAGCAAAACGCTACAGGGATTCTTACGTTTGGGAGTTTTTACGTTCAGGGGATCTTGCGTTTATGGCTTCTTACGCTCAAGGATTCTTGGGTTCAAGGGTTCATACGTTCAGGGGTTCTTAAATTCAGGTGGTGTTAGGTTCAGGGGTTCTAACATACAGGGTTTCTTACGTTCANAAATGGTCACATGAAGTGACGCACTAAATTGGCAATCAAGAATTAAAATGACCACAAGAGAAAAGTAAAAAGCAACTAAGGAAAATGATATTTCAAATATAAAGAGGACCGTGGAATTTACACGGGCAGGGGATGGCCAGAGATGGGGGAAATAAGGAGTGACTGTTCCGTCTGGCCACAGGGAGGCCAAACGCTGTTTTAGCTAATAGAAAAAAAATAAATGTATTTACGCTGTATTAGCTAATAAAACAATGAGATACATTTTCCTTTGTTCCTGTCACTGTTTTTATAAGTCGTTTTGGAAGAGATTTGAATCCGATCAGAGACGGTTATTAAATAACATTGCTGGTTATTAAATGCGTTTGCTTGTCTGGCGCGTCTATTAGCTAAAACAGCGTTCGGGCTCCCTGTGGTCTGGCCCACTATGAGGTCATCGGAGGAGGAGGTAAGCAGTGTAACGTACAGTAATTACTTTATACGGGCTTTTTACGGTAGCTAGTTATTATTAGAACTCACCAAATTCCGCACGAGATCTCCTGAAAAGTTCTGATCCGCTGGTGTTATAAGGGTGTAAGCCACGCCCTTCTCACCTAGACAAGAAAAGACAAAATCAATGAGCAAAACGCTACAGGGATTCTTACGTTTGGGAGTTTTTACGTTCAGGGGATCTTGCGTTTATGGCTTCTTACGCTCAAGGATTCTTGGGTTCAAGGGTTCATACGTTCAGGGGTTCTTAAATTCAGGTGGTGTTAGGTTCAGGGGTTCTAACATACAGGGTTTCTTACGTTCAGGGGTTGTTATGCCCAGGAGTTCTTACCTTCAGGCATTCTGACGTTCAGGGGTTCTTAAATCAAGGGGTTCATGCGTTCAGGGGTTATTACATCCATGGGTTCTTACGTCCAGGTGTTCTCACATTCGGGGGTTCTTACTTTCAGGGGTCCTTACGTTCATAGGTTCTTACGTTCACGGGTTTTTACGTTCCAGGGATCTCTCGTTGAGGGATTCTTGCATACAGGGATTCTTACGTTCAGGGGTTCTTACGTTCACACCTTACAGGATTTTATCAACAAACTAAAAAGTTAGAATTAGCATTTTTTATGTCTCCTATTGAGTCTATGGGTGAATGTAATAAGTAATTACCCGCTCTTCCAGTTCGACCAATCCGGTGCGTGTGCGTGTGAATATCACGTGCTACATCATAGTTTATGACCGTTTTGATTGACGGGATGTCCAATCCACGAGCTGAAAATGGAGCATACATGGAATATTAGCAAGCTTAAACAACGAGAACGCTGACCTCCCAGACGACATGAATAGCAACTGGAAGTTCGACGTTTTGCTTGGTAAAGGTTTTTGTCTCGCACAACGTATCTGAATGCCTTTTGTATTAACTCCCACTGTACAAATTTGTCGAGCCAAAGCACTGAAAGAGAGAAAATGTCAGCTTCCGTTGCCATTTTTGACCTCCAGGGCCCGGTTCCTAGAAAGATGGTGAAGTTTAATCCAGGATTAAGCGAAGAGCATCTAACTCAAGCTTACAAAATACTTTTTAGCCTTTACTCTGAGACACAGTAATGATTTACATAAAATGTTTCTCTAAGTAATGCATAGGAAGGTAACCCTGGATTAGGGCTAATCAGCGTTCCAGGAACCGGACCCAGGATGTCAACATTCTAGTTGCTTAAGGTCCCCATTAACAGTCGTAAAATTAAGAACCGACTAATAGCGTGTGAAAATAAACTTCTCTGTGGGTAAAATAACTGGCTACGCATCCTACCTGCTACATCGGTTGCTACTAAGACTGGAACCTCCTGTCTCTTGAAAGCGTTGATGACTTTGTTTCTTTCAAACTGGTCCATGTCTCCGTGCAACAACAAAACTAAATGCGCGAGCAAAAAATAATGATTAAACATCATATAAAGTACTCAACCGTTCGTGTTTTGAGTACTTTATATGATGCTTAAGACTGGAACCTCCGGTCTCTTGAAAGCGTTGATGACTTTGTTTCTTTCAAACTGGTCGAAAAAAAGAGCATCGAAACAAGTTATAGCAGTGCTGATCACAAAGCGTTTTACACTTTACTGGTTTCTAATTAAGCTTGAAAACGTCATGATAAATCGAATTCATTCCCTTACAAGTTTGAGGGGGGCTTTTAATCGCATGTTTTCTTTTGGTTTGCAGATTGATAGCCCGCGAAAACAGACGTTTCTCCTCGCCCATCGCCACTGGAGGACGTTTCGCAAGGAGGAATTCTTATAAGCGAAAGTTCACGGTATGGTTGAAAGAAAATTTTCCAATATCGACAAGCAACAATCCATACTCAAAAGGTAAACTGATTAACTGATATCATCTTCGCATCTACTTATTTTATCTCAAATAACTGCCCTTTTACAGGAAACACCCGCTTATTAGCCTTAATTAACCACTTTCTTGCACATTGCCGCTTACCGTCAAAATCTTTAGTCTTCAATTTTGCTGCAAGCTCTTCGCTATCTGCCTTCTTGGTTACAAAGATGAGGACACTGCCAGCTGAAAGAAACAAAAAGAAAACAGAATCACAAATACTGAATTTCTATAGAGTGCTAGCCTAACAAAAGAGTTAACATTTCGTGACGCTATCTCTGATTTCCCTGCCAAATTAAGTCTGAGGAAAGAGGGCAGAAATTCCATACTGATGACGTGTCACTACCCACATCTGGTAGGTGCTCTGATTGGTCGTGCCGCAAGGGAAGTTTGCCTCAACCAATCAAAAGCACTACCGAGATCTGGGTAGTGACACGTTATCAGTATGGAATTTATGCGCTCGTTCCTCAAACGTCATTACTCGGGGAAACCAGTGATGGCGTCGCAAAATGGCGGCTCTTTTCTCAAGCAAATGAAATGAATAATTTGTCTCCACAAAAAAAATTGGCCAAAATTCTCATGTGTTCATAACGTATTTCGTTTGATTCAGCTTATAAAAGCATTTTGTCGCTGAGTTGAAAATGGTATCTAAAAAGGTTAGTGATACAATTTGGCAATAAACGTCTACAACTTTTCAAAATGCATGTCAGCCATCTAAACTGCAGCATGCCTTGGGATGAAAAGGCAAACAATTTTTGTTTTGTTTTGTTTTTTTTTTTTCCGTTATTTGAGAGAGAGGGTCACTGTGGACAGATATTATTTATCTAATCACAAATAAAAATATGACCCTGTGTTAGGAACGTGGCAACAACGCCAAACTTTTACGCCATTGGAGTCTCCCTCAATTTGATGTTTGACAAAATGTCAGACATCATCACGCATGGCTTGTTTCAAATTGGCGGCAAACGGCACCGAATTTCTTCAATTTTTGAGACGAACTTCGTACGAATCGGCTTTACGTTGAAAACTCAGAAAAGTGTCAGTAGACAAAAAGTCTCTCTCTGTTGTCACTGTCGTCACCGTATTCACTGTTGCAATGTTGTCACCGTTGTCACTGTTATCACTGTTGTCACCGTTCTCACTGTTGTCACTATTGTCACTGTAGTCACCGTTGTCAAGGTCGTCACAGTTGTCACTGTTGTCACCGTTGTCACCCTTCTCATTATTGTCACCATTGTCACTGTTGTCACAGCTGTCACTGTTGTCACAGTTGTAACTGTTGTTACCGTTGTCACTGTTGTCATTGTTGTCATTGTTGTCACGGTTGTCACTGTTGTTACAGTTGTCACCGTTGTCACTGTTGTCACCGTTGTTACCGTTGTAACCGCTGTCACTATTGTCACTGTTGTCACTGTTGTTACCGCTGTCACCATTGTCACCGTTGTCTCTGTTGTCACTGTTGTCACTAGTGTCACTGTTGTTACCGTTGTCACCCTTGTCCCGATTGTCACCGTTGTCACAGTTGTCACTGTTGTCACCAATGTCACTGTTGTCACCGTTGTAACCGTTGTCACTGTTGTCACCGTTGTCACTGTTTTTACTGTTGTCACTGTTGTCACCGTTGTCACCACTGTCACCCTTGTCATCGCTGTCACCATTGTCACTGTTGTTACAGTTGTCACTCTTGTCACCGTTGTCACTGTTGTCAAAGTTGTCATTGTTGTTACCGTTGTCACCGATGTCACCCTTGTCACCGTTGTCACTGTTGTAACTGTTGTAACTATTGTCACCGTTGTCACCGTTGTCACTGTTGTCAACGTTGCAACCGTATTCACCGTTGCAATGTTGTCACCGTTGTCACTATTGTCACCGTATTCACTTTTGCAATGTTGTTACCGTTGTCACTGTTGTCACGGTTGTCACCGTTGTCACCGTTCTCACCATTGTCCCCGTTGTCACCGTTGTCACCGTAGTCACCGTTGTCACTGTTGTCACCATAGTGACTGTTGTCACTGTTACCATGTTGTCACCGTTGTCACCGTTGTCAATGTTGTCACCGTTGTCACTGTTGTCACCATTGTCACTGTTGTCACCATTGTCATTGTTCTCACTGTTGTCAACCTTGTCACCGTTGTCACTGTTGTCACCATTGTCACTGTTGTCACCATTGACACTGTTGTCACTGTGGTCACCGTATTCACTGTTGCAATGTCGTCACCGTTGTCACTGTTGTCACTGTTGTCACCATTGTCACTGTTGTCACCGTTGTCACCATTGTCACTGTTGTCACACTTGTCACTGTTGTCACCCTTGTCACCATTATCACTCTTGTCAAAGTTGTCACCCTTGTCACTGTTGTCACCGTTGTGACTGTTGTCACCATTGTCACCATTTTCAGAGTAGTCACCGTTGTCACTATTGTCACCGTTGTGACTAATCTCACTGTTAATACTGTTGTCAATATTGTCACCGTTGTCATGGTGACAATGGTGACAACGGTTGTAAGTTGTCACCCTTGTCACCCTTGTCACTGTTGTCACCGTTGTCACCGTATTCACTGTTGCAATGTTGTCACTGTTGTCACTGTTGTCACCGTATTCACTGTTGCAATGTTGTCACCGTTGTCACGGTTGTCACCGTTGTCCCGTTGTGACTGTTGTCACTGTTGCCATGTTGTCACCGTTGTCACCATTGTCACTGTTGTCAATGTTGTCACCGTTGTGACTGTTGTGACTGTTGCCATGTTGTCACCGTTGTCACTGTTGTCACCGTTGTCACTGTTCTCACCATTGTCACTGTTGTCACCGTTGTCACTGTTGTAAGTGTTGTCACTGTTGTCACCGTTGTCACCGTTGTCACTGCTGTCACCATTGACACTGTTCCACTGTCATCACCGTATCTACTGTTCGATGTTGTCACCGTTGTCACTGTTGTCACCGTTGTCACCATTGTCACTGTTGTCACCCTTGTCACACTTGTCACTGTTGTCACTGTTGTTACCGCTGTCACCGTTGTCACTGTTTTCACTGTTGTAACTGTTGCAATGTTATGACTGTTGCCACCGTTGTCACCGTTTTCACTGTTGTTACCGTTGTCACTGTTGTCACTGTTTTTACTGTTGTCACTGTTGTCACCATTGTCACCCTTGTCATCGTTGTCACCATAGTCACTGTTGTCACAGTTGTCACTGTTCTCACCGTTGTCACTGTTATTACGCTTGTCATAGTGACAACAGTGAAAATGGTGACAACGGTTGTACCATTGTCACCGTTGTCACCCTTATCACCGTTGTCACTGTTGTAACTGTTGTCACTGTTGACACTGTTGTCACCGTTGTCACTGTTGTCACCGTATGCACTGTTGCAATGTTGTCACTGTTGTCACTGTTATCACTGTTGTCACGGTTATCACAATTGTCACCGTTGTCACCGTAGTCACCGTTGTCACTCTTGACACCGTTGTGACTGTTGTCACTGTTACCATGTTGTCACCGTTGTCAATGTTGTCACTGTTCTCACCGTTGTGACTGTTGTCACGGTTGCCATGTTGTCACCATTGTCACTTTTGTCACTGTTGTCACCATTGTCACCGTTGTCACTCTTGTTACCGCTGTCAACGTTGTCACTGTTTTCACTGTTGCAATGTTGTCACCGTTGTGACTGTTGTGACTGTTGCCATGTTGTCACCGTTGTCACTGTTGTCACCGTTGTCACTGTTGTCACCATTTAGTCTTCAATTTTGCTGCAAGCTCTTCGCTATCTGCCTTCTTGGTTACAAAGATGAGGACACTGCCAGCTGAAAGAAACAAAAAGAAAACAGAATCACAAATACTGAATTTCTATAGAGTGCTAGCCTAACAAAAGAGTTAACATTTCGTGACGCTATCTCTGATTTCCCTGCCAAATTAAGTCTGAGGAAAGAGGGCAGAAATTCCATACTGATGACGTGTCACTACCCACATCTGGTAGGTGCTCTGATTGGTCGTGCCGCAAGGGAAGTTTGCCTCAACCAATCAAAAGCACTACCGAGATCTGGGTAGTGACACGTTATCAGTATGGAATTTATGCGCTCGTTCCTCAAACGTCATTACTCGGGGAAACCAGTGATGGCGTCGCAAAATGGCGGCTCTTTTCTCAAGCAAATGAAATGAATAATTTGTCTCCACAAAAAAAATTGGCCAAAATTCTCATGTGTTCATAACGTATTTCGTTTGATTCAGCTTATAAAAGCATTTTGTCGCTGAGTTGAAAATGGTATCTAAAAAGGTTAGTGATACAATTTGGCAATAAACGTCTACAACTTTTCAAAATGCATGTCAGCCATCTAAACTGCAGCATGCCTTGGGATGAAAAGGCAAACAATTTTTGTTTTGTTTTGTTTTTTTTTTTTCCGTTATTTGAGAGAGAGGGTCACTGTGGACAGATATTATTTATCTAATCACAAATAAAAATATGACCCTGTGTTAGGAACGTGGCAACAACGCCAAACTTTTACGCCATTGGAGTCTCCCTCAATTTGATGTTTGACAAAATGTCAGACATCATCACGCATGGCTTGTTTCAAATTGGCGGCAAACGGCACCGAATTTCTTCAATTTTTGAGACGAACTTCGTACGAATCGGCTTTACGTTGAAAACTCAGAAAAGTGTCAGTAGACAAAAAGTCTCTCTCTGTTGTCACTGTCGTCACCGTATTCACTGTTGCAATGTTGTCACCGTTGTCACTGTTATCACTGTTGTCACCGTTCTCACTGTTGTCACTATTGTCACTGTAGTCACCGTTGTCAAGGTCGTCACAGTTGTCACTGTTGTCACCGTTGTCACCCTTCTCATTATTGTCACCATTGTCACTGTTGTCACAGCTGTCACTGTTGTCACAGTTGTAACTGTTGTTACCGTTGTCACTGTTGTCATTGTTGTCATTGTTGTCACGGTTGTCACTGTTGTTACAGTTGTCACCGTTGTCACTGTTGTCACCGTTGTTACCGTTGTAACCGCTGTCACTATTGTCACTGTTGTCACTGTTGTTACCGCTGTCACCATTGTCACCGTTGTCTCTGTTGTCACTGTTGTCACTAGTGTCACTGTTGTTACCGTTGTCACCCTTGTCCCGATTGTCACCGTTGTCACAGTTGTCACTGTTGTCACCAATGTCACTGTTGTCACCGTTGTAACCGTTGTCACTGTTGTCACCGTT